TCATGATGCAGATAAACCACTGAGTCACTGGTTGCCATGGTGATTCCCTCCTTATCTGTGCAGCAGAGGGGGGAGGGGCAAACAAGTTAGTTCATACTAAAACTAAATTATATAATTTAAAACTTTTAATAAACGGGTGTTCTGTTAGTTCTTAACATCTATGCTGACTTTGTTATGGAGCTAAATTGGGGTCATAAGCTTTGTTCAAAAGTAAAGAAAAAAAGTAAAAATGTTTGAATCTTTTCCAGATTCTTTTCAGACATGTTAACGGGATTTATGTGCTTCATGTGAGTGTATGTATTTGGGTAGGTGTACACAGATAGGTGTGTGCACATCGGGTGTGTATATTATTTTATGGGTTTATTTATTGTGTATAATTCCTCTAAGTGGGTTCATTTTTTGTAGATGTGTGAAAGCGTTTATTGAGATATAGATTCAGACTATGTAATGAATTTGACATGTCTGGAATAAAATCATTAATCATTAATTAATACATTGTTTTTTAGTTTCAAATCTTTTTTTTTTTCAGTTTCAAAATAGTTTTTCAGTTTCAAAGTTATTTTTTAGTTTCAAATCTCTTTTTTCAGTTTCAAAAACTTTTTATTTTGAACAAAACTTATGACCGCAATTTAGCTCCGTACACATGGGGCTCAACCTGAACAACTGTATCCTGTCATAGAATTTCCATTATGATTCTTGTAGCATCCCACATCATCAACAAGGTTCCAAAGATTTGGTCTGCTTTGTGGGTTTGTTCAAATTAATGCTACAAAATGTGTTCTTTCACAATCCCAAAGTATTCACGTGCATTTTCTGTCAATCATTTGAAAAGAGATCRTGTAATGCTCTGAGTCATCAGGGCTGGAATTGTACAAGACCGGCCCTCATGATCCTTTTGATAGGAGCACCTCAACATCAGTAAAACAGGACCTAATTTCATCCCAAAGCACGTTTGTACKCTGAATAATTGATGTAAAAATCTGTGCTCAGTCTGTGCCTAATGACACATGCTCAGTGCCACTAGACTGTTTCATCTTCAGCAGAAACTGCTGTGACTCTTTTTTTTAACATGTTTTAAACATCAGTTTGAGAGGACTGACTTTGAACCACAGATGATTCAAACATTTACTAGTTTGCCTCAGTTTAGAAGGTACATTTTGCTTGTGTTGAATGTTGCAACGCTCACAAGCTGCACTGTGGTCGCAGAGCTGGTTTGACCGTTTACTTCTCAGAAACTTTGAATTTCATTTGTGCATTTCTGTGGGTTGTCTTTAGAAACTTTGAATTTCTTCCACTTGCTTGTTAAACTAACTGGTACAGTATTTAGGTCTACTAAAATCAGCCAAAAAAAAATAAAAAGAACAAAAGTCAACAATTTATTATTTAAATCAACAAGCTTGGCAACAGAATACCATCAAAGATGACCAACCCAAAGTAATAATAGAATGTAGGGATGTTGACATTTCGTCTGCAGCTGCTGCCATTTTCTTCCCAAACTGCTGTGACCAGATTTTGCGAGGCTGCTCGGTGTGTTTGCTTGTTATTTCCTCCTGCTTCGTTATTTCTACGAATTTCAACAAAGCATGCTGACGTCAGGTAGTTAGCTACAGCCTCGTCTTCCAGTTTTTATATCTTGTTGATGCGTTTTGAAGAGACAATTTTTTTGAAAATAGGATCAAAGTAAATCACCCGAGTTTTTCTAGTAAGCCCTTAAAGAGATAAGCTGCCATGAAGAATTTTATTTTATCTGCCCTTGTTCCAAATTTGATAATTATTTGAAACAAAGCAGTTTTTTTTTAAAATCCGGAGTAGCGCTTGTTGCAAAGTGTGTTGACGCTCGTCTTCGTCACCCGACACATTTAACTCGCTGTCATTGGTTGAGGAGCTTTGTTTACAAAACACATGTCCACGTGGTTTTTGAATTGTTTTAATTTCCTTACTTTCTAAGACACATTAAGTTGATTTGATGCTGCAGTTTGCCTCGTAATATTGTTTTATACCTTTGTTGCTACTTTTGCATTGGATATTATGAAGTTTTATTCATTTTTAGGATACAAGATGCTTCCTACAAAAACCAGAATGTGAATCTTTTCCTAAAATTTCATAGCGATATCTTGAACACTAAGTTATGAGCAAAACTAGATAAGAACAGAAATGGTCACAAAGACCCCATTGGTTCTGCTGTGAACTGCAGCAAGAAAACATGAGCTGATTTCACCTCAACAAACATCAATAACTTCCCTCATACTTGAGATAATCACATGATTTTGGTGTTATTTTGGTTTGTAATGATCATTTGGAATCCACTGTCAGATTTAATATTGGTGTAGGAAAATTATTTTATCCACATCCGTAGAATGATCAAAGCTAATTAGTTTGACAAGTAGATTTCAGG